TGTTAGAAGCAGGAAACATGGGCAGCGTGAGGATTTGAGCGACTCTGACAAGGAGCCACATTGTGATGGCTTAGACAACTGAGAGCATCTCCAAACCTGCAACTTCTTGTGGGGTGTCCCCAGTCTGCAGAGGTCAGTACCTATCAAAAGTGGTCCAAGGAAAGAAAAGAACCTGAGGAGCGAAGGCTGGCCCGTGTGGTCCGATCCAACAGACGAGATACTGTAGCTCAAACTAAACCAGGGCACCCAGGTGGTGATAATGTTATGGCTGATCGGTGTTTATACTGTCTATAAGCTGTTTTTATCCTGGTTATTCTCATGTGTCGTGACTCGAAAAGGTTGAGGGCTAACATATTGCCATGTGTATATTGTATAAAGCTTCTTGTTTTAACGTTATCTCTGTCATTTCTTAAATAATAATGTTTCATTTTTTCACCCATTTTCTCACCTCCAGGCCTGTCTCTGTGTGAAATTCCCCTCTGGGATCAATAAAGTTATCTTCTTACATCCAACCCCAAACTTCCTTTCAAGGAAGTTCGGGGTTGGATGTTTTCGGGGAGCAAATTCCTCAAACACGTATTTTATATAAAACAAATTAGTATATATATGTATATGATTTCTAGGATGCAGGGTTGCCTTGGAGACGTGTTCATGTCCCTCATGCTCCTGCAGATGTTAGAAGATCCTCCTACCTGTCTGAGAGGAGACTATTAAACACCCCCCCCCAGTAACGCCAACTCACCCTGAAGAACTCTTTGGTCGACCCCGAGTCCAGAGTGCCGTAGGCGATGTCCGTCTGCTTGGCCAGATCCTCGGCGCTCTCGATGGGCGAAACCATCCTCTCCACAGTGAGGAAGGCCGCCAGGTTGGCCGTGTAGGACGAGATGATGATGAGAGTGAAGAACCACCACACTCCTCCCACAATTCGACCCGATAACGACCTTGGAGAGCAAAAAAAGGTGGAGGAAAGAGAAAGCATATTGCGGGGAGGGGGGCATTAAAAGGGAGACGGGTGGGAGAGGAGAAGGAGAGGAGGAGGAGGAGGAGGAGGGAGATGCAGAGGATGGAGGAGATTAAAAAAAAAAGAGGAACAAAAGGAGGAAATTGGCAGAAAGTAGAGCCGGGAAAGTGATCGTTGGAGGAGGTGGAGGAGGTAAAATAAAGAGGAGGAGGAGGAGACAGAAGAACAGTCAGTCAGTGTTGGAACATACAGGCAGACTCAGACAATCAGAGGGGGATGAAATATGACTGTGTGAAGCATGAAGAGACCCACAAAATGCTCATGTGCCACCACACGGTGGAGCTGTGACAACACTCAAACCCGCCAGAGCTTGTATTTACCCCTCGTTAGTGCATATTGCATACACACATGCTTGTGTGGAGCAGCTCTGGTGTACAGAAAAGGTTTGGTTATACTTCTGCCCTCCCCTCCCCTCCCCTCACCCCCTTTTTCTTTCTGTTTATTGGTGGGATGAAAAGAGCTGCAGGTCCCCTGGCTGGCGTGGCGGCAGCGACGACGGTGGTGGCGGTGGCGGCTGTGGCACTGTTCTTTTCTTGTTTGTTCGCTCAGGGGAGACAGATAGCCCGCTGCTCGGGAGCAGCAGAAGGTCGTGAGGAGAATCTTAAACCATAAATGCTGCATTGAGGAGAACAAACAAGATCTCTCCCCTCGGTGCAAATCAAACAGCGGAGGATACAAAACCCTCAGGCCTCCTTGTCAGATGGAGAGAGAGAGAGATATGAGAGAGGCAACTGCAACAGTCAGTGTTTTCTTGGCTGGTGTATCCACTGTGTCTCATTGCAATCTGGCTATAATCCATAAATGTCCCCAATATGCAATATGAGTCCTGTAATCTCATGTGCAACGTTTACAATAAGGGAAGCTGTGACCCAATGCTCTCCCTCTCTCTCTCTCTCTTTCTCACAACCAACCACTCTAAAGAACCTTGATTACCAACCATTTTGAAGCAACACCGACTTTATTTTAACAAATAAAGGATGACTGGAAACCGGCAGAATCGGCGAGGAAATAAAAAACCCTCAGTTTTCTCTCTACTGTGCCGATGAGAAGTGCCCGTAAGGCGACTTCCAGTAGAGAAGTGCTGCAGCAGAGCATGTCTCCTTCCAACACTCGCAGGAAGCTCTGCCCATGAAATAGACTTACTTGACGTATTAGCTCTGGATTTGAATACAAATGACTTCCTCTCTCTTCTTCTCGCCGCACTCTCATTTTCCTTCTCCTTGAGAGTATTTCTGCGGCTTTTGAGCACAGAGAATTTAACTGTAAAATAATGACTAAAAAGGGGGGCGGGTGACTTCTATCCTCTCTCCTCTCTCTGATGCTTTTATTTCGACTCTATTTCCTGTTCCCCAACCTGCCAAAAATCCCTTCATTCTCCCCTATCAGACCGTCTCCATCTTTCTCTCCCTGCCAGCAGCAGTGGATTGTGGGAGTGTAATAATGGGACCAGAGGAGGAGTGTCTCTTTGCCTTCCCTCCAACCCTCTGTGCTGTGTGTTTGCTGGCTGATACCACTGACTTTGATCCACAGTGACACACTGCTGTGTCTTGATGGGCCTGCAGTAAACAGAGCGGATGTGGGGGAGGAAGAGGAGGGGTGAGAGGAGCTTAGTGCCGAGAGTTTGGGGTAATTTTGAGGCCACGTCAGTGTTTTCTAGCTTTTTTTTCTTTCTCTCTGCTCAATGCTGACGGACTCGGCATTAATATATATATATATTATGATAATAAAGGGTAGTAGTGATCAAGGTAAGAGCTGTTTCCTGACTACAATTTATAAACCGATGAACAAAAAACAAAAAAATGTTGGTTTTCAATTTTTTTGTTGGAAAATAAAAATATAAAACAAAAAAAATGACAAACAGAACAAAAGTTTGTTCTGTTTTGAAATAATATTATATATCTTCAAAATAGTTCGATCTTTTTTAGTTTTATTTATGTTAGAAAAAAAAACTACATGTTCTCCGTTTTCTGTTCCCCTGTTTATAAGTTATAGTCGGGAAACTGATTAAGCATCTTTAACCTTGTAGTGATTCTCAGGGTTAAAATGAGCTGTGGGCCCTTATTGAGCCCATAAAAGACTACAAACTTAAATAGTCCTACAGAAGGAGCTTCCAGGTTTTGCAGTAATGCAGTTTTTACTGTAGTCCAAACTGTTCCGGTTTATAATATAATGTGCTTTTATAGAATTACCAAACAAATGTTAAACCTGAAGCCACCAGGTTTGGAGGAGTCAGCCGCTTTCTTTGATTTATAATCCAGCTTTTGTCCCAAATCTCTGTCATTCTCTCGATGCTTTTCAAGTCTCATGAACTAACTGTCAATGAAGCAGTATAACAGAATGTGTATCCAGCAGCCATTGGACAACTCAACTGTATGAAAACCGAACTTATCCATCAAAATAATGCTAAAAAAATAGAGTTTGTAAGCACAGAGCAGCAGCCCAGAACGGACAAAAACACACAGTTTTCATAGCCACGTATAAGTATCTTCATACACCTGTTCTGATTCTCAGGTCGTCAAATACAGATGCGAGCGGTGTTCAGTTAGCTGCCATCTGCCACTTTCACCACTAGGTGCCACTAAAATCCTACAAACTGGCCCTTTAAGGGGTGGCAGAAAGCAGTATTTGCCCTCAAATGAAGATATTTCAGCTCTATAACATTAAATTAATGTGGCACATTAGTAAAGTATTGAATATAAATAAATAAATTATTAAATTTAACACAAAAGGGGGAGAACCAGGCATTTTTTTATTTTAATGTCAGTGTTTTTATGGGTTTTTAGGGTGATGACGGACTGTTTAATCATTTACATTTTATAGTAACAAACATGCATCTGCAGGACGAAGCAGTGAAACAAAAAATCTGTTTCACTGCAGTTGGAAAATAAAACTTGACTGTAATGATGTATGAGCTCAGTTTTCCCACGGGTGGAGGAAACAAGAAAAACCAGACGTGGGGGAAGTATTAGAAGAAATAAAGTGGAAACAAAACAGGAATTGGCTCCAGTGTTGGGGGAATGGGATTCTTCGCAGCAGTCCTGGAAGCCTCGGGGTATAAAATTAAAAAAGACTAAATGTAAAGGAAAAAAGTAATAATTTTAGCAATTATACAGCAATTAGTCAGCACTTTTCCCCTACTGGTTAACTTGCTTAAGTAAAATTAATTTGTATTTATTAAAAAAGGAGAGATCTAAAGAGGCTGGCGTGGTCTTCTTTCTGCACTCATCGGCAACAATTAATGTTGATTCATCTGTAAATGAACAAAAAAAGAGAACTGGAAAGTTATTATCCCACATCAGAAGGAGTCTGAGCCACACTAAAATAATATAATCTGTTAATTTACCTCGAGAAGCAACAACTCAAGTGAGTGCACTTTTCTTTATAGTTATATGTAGTTTAACGAATGTACACCACAACACAACGGGGGAAACGTGTAAAAAGGGATGCGTTTGATGCAGCCGTGTAGCCATAAACATGTTGGCTGTGGTTTAAATATTTCACACAGTATGTGCGTCACGTAGCTTCAAAGAACGGCTGGATGTTCCTCAATCTGAAGAGAAACACTGAGGCGAAATAAATCTCCTGTCAGGATGGTATCAGTGACCGATCTGTCGCACTGTGATGGGACGAACTTTTAACGCCCCACCTTCCCTTTTTTTATGTCCTTTGATGTGCGAGAAGTGGAATAAAAAAGCCGTTGTCAGGTTTTCCAGCAGGGTTTAAGGGACAGAGAAGAAAACAGCAGCATGAAGTGGAGGAGCTGATGAAGTGAAAGACGTAGAGGAGGAGAGACAGCGAGCTCTGACCCTTGAGCAGAGCCTAAATAAATGAGGAGGTGCTAGCTTGCTCCCCCCCCGGGGGGTGATACCTGGGGCGAGACCACACGATTTGACTTATTCATAGCAGACAAACTGTCACTCCAGATTCCCGCTCTCTGCCTCGACTTGCATTTTCTGTCCTCCTTCCTCACCTCAAGCCACCGGCGTGTTACTCTCGAATAAAAGCCTGTATTCAAATAAAAACCAGTCAAAGTACATCGAGTAAAAGTGCCACAGACGGGGGTTAAGATTGTTGTTTTAAGTGTGTTTGACAACTTATAGAAAAGGATCCCTGCAGAGAGAGACAGCAGTTACATTCAGTTTATTTCATTATTTAGAGGATAGTAGGTGTCCTACATCAGGAATTAATGGATACTCAGGATCAAGTATTCACCCAGACCAGGGCTCAGCTGCCTTTACTATATTAAAACAGGAAAAAATAATCAGTCTGGAGCTGCAAAACATATCTAAATTCTCTATTTTCCTCTTAAACTTTTCAGTTTTTTGGATTTGGAATCTGTTGCTAGTCGACCTCGTTAGCCGCTGCTATCGAGTGTCACCCGGGGTCAGGACGTAAAGAACGACGCACGCTGTAGTTGACGAAGTGTTAAAACAACCATAAATAAAAACAACTGTAGAGGCACTGAAGAGCCACAGAGCTACAATTATTACTGGTTTTAATGATCTTGTTTCTTATCACACAGATTTTATTGTTATTGTTATTTATCTGCATTTGTTTTAAATTGTACTTTTACGTGTTTTTATGCTGTGTTCCTGGGTACTATTGCTTTTATTATTGCTCTTATTATTGACTATTTTGTCTCTTTTGAAACTGCTATTTGATAAATAAAATGTATTATTATTATAATTCAAACTTGACAGAAACAAAACAAAAGTCAACTAATTCTTGTTTTGTCTTTCAACCAAAATAAAACCCTTAATTGAAAATTAAATGTACAAATATTGTTGCTGTCTCTGATGTCCGACCTTCCTCTTTCTCTCTTGTTATCTTCCCATCTAACTTGGTGAATTGAGGGTTTATTTCGACCGAACCGTGACTATTTGAACTTTGACTATGTTACGCGGTAAAATGACAGTTTTT